TATTTTGGCTGAGAGTGAACTCTGTTAAGTAGAGCTTCTGCTTGAAATCTTGGCAGGGAAGGCCACAAATACCTGGTGTGAAGGGTTTCTCTAGAAATAGCCTAGTTCTGCCTATGTGAAGTGTAAAGCTCTGGAGTTGGAGATATTCCATCATTTAATCCATGCATAATTTTTTCTTTTTTTTTTGGGCCCTTTACCTTTGTATTTCCCTTTGGGCAGTCAGAGATTAATAAATCCATCGTGATTCAGTTGCAAAATGAATCAGTTCCTGGACTCTGTCTCAAAGTCCTGTCAGCAGTGCTGAACTCATCATCCCTGGAAGTGTTCAAAAAACAAGTAGATGTAGCACTAGAGGCTATAGTCTAGTAGATAGGGAAATGCTGGGAGGAAGGGTGGAAATGATGAACCTAGAGGACCTTTCCAACTATAGTTATTCAAAAAAAAGGCAAAAACAACCCAACAAAAAACTCCCATTATAGTTTTTACAATTCCTACTTAAAATATTTTAAGCCTAATTCTCATTCTTAGTATCCTCACGGGTGCGTATCTCTAATTACATCATGAATCTTGAAAGGAATGCTAATGGAACTTTAACTAGCCTTAAACTGAAAGAGCTTTGTGTAGTGTGGTTAAAGGAACGTCCAGCTCTGTGTGTCCATGTTTTCTGTACTACATTCAGCAGATGCATTGCCAGATGCATGGTCTTAGATTTAACACCCTATTTCTTGGACCTGGTTTACAACTTGGTAGAAACTGTGTAACACTTAACTATCTTTCAAACGTTGTTTGAACTTGAACTTTAATCTGAATAATAGGAAAAAAGATCTGGGGAGGGGGGATGATGAAGTGCTGTATGTGTGAAGATAAATGGGTTCTGTCACTCCGTGGTCCTAAAGACCTGTCAGTTTAGTCACTCATTAACAGAGCAAAGGGGTGTTTGTGATTTTTCTGTCTTCTGCTGCCACATCTTGTGGTTTGTTTTTTTTTTTATTATGTTAGCAAATTTCCTATTAGAAACCGTTTTGTCCAAAGAAGAAAACATTTTTATTCAAATTTTGTCTATCTATTACTTCTGCAACCCAGGTGTCATTGACTTTCAAGTTTTGAGGATATTACAGGAAAAACATAATGAAGTTAAGATTAAGTTGTAGGGGAAATGTCTGTGAGTTGCCAAGGAGAATTGATTTAGGTAATGTCTATGAAGTTTGAACTTACAAATTTGTTGCAGAAACAATTTTCTAAGTCAGAAAGACAAAGTTGAGTTCGTATATGTGAAATAAACCTTAATATTCTCCACCTCTGGATAAGAGTGGAGCAGTCTGAGTAGCAGCAGTAGGTGCAGCAATACAGTAGAAGCTTCTGTGTTCAGGTGCCATTACCAATAGATGTTTTCTTTACTCTAGGAGAGAAAAAGTGAATTGAATGTCTTTCAATTAGAGTACTGCCCTGAGGCTGCCTCTGTCTTGTCTCCAAACTAGAGACTAGGTGTATGGTGACATCTGAACCAGAAAGTGTTTTCAATAATAGATGTATCCCTGCTTGACACTGGCAGCAGTGCTGATGCTGACTCTGTCTCATGGCTGAGTTATTCTGTTAATATTCTGGGGCTAAGAATGGGAGTGTTTGTTGTTGCTTTAAAATCTCTTTGACTAAACCTTCAAAACTTTCATCCCTAGTGTGTATAATCTGGGTAGAAAATTAAAACCTCCTCATCTGGGTGAAGTTGGGGGCATGCCTTCCCTAGGGTCGGTGTGGTGGTGGGAACACTCTTGTTTCATTTACAGCTGTTGGTGGTAGAGCCTGCAGCAGATCTGGAGAAAAGGCATCAAGTGTTACATGCTACAAAATTAGATTCTCAGATGCCTATTGTGAGCATAATAGCTGTGTGTCTGAGAGAAAAATACTTGCTTCTCTCATAGCAGCAAGTGACAGGGTGCATTTAAGCTAGATTCATGAAATGGTGTTCAGCACGAGTAACAACATGTCCTTGAAGCTATAATTAGTAAACCTAATCAAATTGGGGGTGGGGGAAGAGTACTGCTACAGTCCTGAAGTGTACGGCTGCTTCCGCCAGCCTCCTCCCTGAGCCTACGACTTTTATTGGCTTTGCAAGTACAGTAAAAATCTGCTCTGAGGAAATGATTGGACTTTGGGGAACCTCTAATTAATACTTCTACTCGCATATTATTTCTAGGCGTTCATGTAACTCCCAGTCCTGCTTTTTGCTTAATTTTAATTAGCTGTTTCTATTCCGGGAGGTACTGCTGTTCGGAAAGCAGCGGTGGGTGCCACAGGGTTTTCTGAGGCTTTGTTTACCTGCTCTGACAGGCTCGAGTGAAATGGTTGTGCCTGTGCTGAGCAGCCTCTTTGCTTTACAAGGGGGTGTAGCCAAATGGCAGCGTCACGATATTGTGCCATAAACCTCTGAATTCTGGCGTGCTCAGCCTTGACTGCCAGGCTTGCGTGCCCATGCTCGCCTTGGCGCTCGGGGTGCTGTGGTGCTAGAAACACTGCTGCCAATCACAGCTGCCTCGGCTGCTGCTGCTCTGCTTAAGCTTTTATGTAAGCTACCAGGGATTACTGCTCACTGGCTGTAATACGGGATTTGAAAAATGCTTTATTAATTGAAAAACATATTAAAAAAAAAAAAACAACCAAACCTTGCACTACGTATTTTTCTCTTCTTGGCTTGATTAGACTCTTTTTGAAGCAAGCAAGCAAATATCCAGAGTATATGGCTGCTCTTTGTCAGCAGAGTGAAGGACAACTGCCTGAACTTGTCATGGCTGGAAACTGCTTCTCCACCACTCTGGCCCCAGCAGCTCTGTTTCCCAAACACACTTGACAAAGTCATTAATTTACCAGTGACCTCCGAAGAAGCTGAAGTTCACAGGATGTTTGGGAAAGCCCTACCACAGATGGACAGATAATGTAGGACATTGTGAACATAGTAAGTTTTAAGAAGGCAATTTTTGCAGTGGGCAGAGACTGTAAGGCTCTGTTCTTGCTTCCATTCTGTTCAATATCCTGTAGTAGTACTAGCAGACTTTTATCTTTATTCATCATCATAAAGAAGGCTCAACATAAAGGAATTGCTTATGAGCTCTTATTTTTGTGAGTATGTGATGAACTAACTTGCATGTTTCACTTAGAATAGTTGTGAGCTGATTTGGTCTTGGGGAATAAAATATTGCAATTACAATAGCTAATTCTGTCCATGCTGGATGAAAGCTTGGGGATAGCTAAAAAAAAATACACAGTATCTGAAATGGAGAAACATTTTTAACACTGAAGTAATTCCATTTCACAGACCCTAAGTGTGGGAAAGACAGAAAACTAAAAGAAAAATTGACAGACCTCCTGGGAAGTGTGGAAGAGCTTCCACATGAGAATTGAGTGAATAGATGAGGACTGTTGGTTCTGGAAAAGCCATGTTGGGAGGAGATGAGCATGGCAGAGGTCAGTGCAGACCTGAGCTTCTGGAGAAGGGTCTGCTCACTGTCCACACAGGATGCGAAGGAGGTGACGTGCCCTGGTGAAGGGGTATCCTGCAGTGCCTGGATGCTGAGTTTGTGGCTGCAAACGTGTCTCAGCCAAGTCTGTGGAAGACAACCTGACTGAGGACTGTCCAGTAGAACTCTATCTGTGCTCCAGGGGTTCTCCAAGGCACAAATCCCTGGAGTCTGATGGAGCATTTTACAGAGTTGCTTTTCACAGTCTGCGGAGTCATCCGAGGACCTGAGTACCTCAGTGCTTTAAAGTTTTATACATGAGCAGCCAGAATTGCAGGCAGGAGTTAGCAGGGCAGCAGAAGAGCTGCCTATGGATGTGTAATAAACCACAACTATATGTCAGGTTGATGATGAGGCTGTCTGCTGAGTGCTCACTGCAGTGCTCCATAAGGATGTAAGCTTGTTGCAGGTGTTCGTGTCATTTGAGTTGCTTTTGGAGAAGCTAACTGGAAAACACTTGGAACTATTGTGCTTCCCTTTCTATAGGGTGGGACTTGCATCTTGTTTCTATAGTCTTACTACAAAGGAACTTCATTTGTACTTGTTCTAACTTATTTCTAACTTGGAAGCACCAGTTAAGACACGGACTGTGTGTGACAGTTCATGTAGAACAGGTCAGGCAGCTTGTTGTAAAATGCTTCCATCTGTAATCTGGTTTCCTAATAGAGGAGAAGAGTGAAAACTGAAGTTCTATGGCTTAATACAGAATACTGCTTGCTACAGAAATATGTAGATGGGGGAAACTGCACCCAGCCCTACGTTTCAATAGCAGGTGGAGTGATGCTTGGAAACTGTGTGTGTGTATATATTAAATATAAATACCAGAAGTAGCACATAAATAAAATAGGATAGCTCTTTTCCTGGTAATAACTAAAAGCTATAGTAAAGTGTCTTGGGTTTATAAGGGTATTTTGAAGTTGCATATTTAAATAAGAACATCTTTAGAGTAATTTTGGAATTCCTGAATTGCAACAAAAAGTTGCCAGCTCATGGTACTTGAAAAGTTTCAGTCTCTTCCAGCTGTCTTCATGCCCTTAAGGTGTGCAGTAACTCTCAGCTGTTTTTTCCCCACTATTTTTGCATCATTTTCTCCATTCCATTTGTAACCTCCAAATAATTTTGGGAGTCCTTATTGGTGTCGTGGCTGGTATTACTGACTGCTGGTAGTAGAAGACTTACGGGTTTTGTTTTTCCCCTCACCTTCTGTCCCTTGTTCTGATGCCATTCTTTTGTTTAGGAAGGAATGTGTCCAGAAATAAGGACAGCAAGATAATTTGGCTTTCAATTCCCAAGTTAATATTCTGTAATCTGAGTTACAGTAAAAGCACCAGCATGAAAAAGCAGTGTGTGGTAGGACCTCTGTTTTAAGCTACTAGAGATAATAATTAGGTTCGCTTAAAAACCTTTTTTTAGTTCAAAAAGGAATTCAGCTGTCTCAGATGGAAAAACATCTTGCTAAATGTTTGTGCCTTAAGGAGGAAGAGGGAAATGGTAACTAATCTCCTGTCCTTCTGTCTACTGAGCAAGAAACTCAACATTTTTCTGTGTCAGTTGCAGACATTCAATACTGCTGCACCTTGCCGAGATGTCCAGGACCTGACTAATGGGGTTGCCATGGCGCAGGTACTTCACCAAATGTAAGTTGATGCTTAAATTTGAAGTACTATTTAATTTCTTTAGGTTTTTGTTTGATGTGCATAGTTGTTTTTAAAGTGGACAGGAACTTAGAGTGGACAGTTTTTTAGCAGAAGATGAAATATGCCTTTGTATTGTTGTTTTGGAGATGATATAACAGTCAATTGCATAGAATGGAGAAGGTGAGGAGGAGAAACTCTAATACTGAGGTATTAAAATCATACTTCAGGGTAATTAGGTGAGAATATTTCACTTCTCCCATCAACACTGTTTCCATGGATCTCCATGCTCAGGCAGTATATCCCTCTTTGGAATGAGAACTGAAAGTTAATAAGGCCTGGTTTTGTACTCTTCATGGGATTGCTCAGTTGATATAGATTTAAGTTCTAGGATTTAAATGATACTTTACTATTTGTGTGGAAAAAAGAATTGTGAAACCTCAATGACAATTCTATTATAAAGAAATAATATTTTGCTAATCAAAAGCAAAATCATTCCTATTTTATTAGTGTGATGACAGATGGTACTGGGTTGAGTGACAGACTAGTTTGGAAATATGCAGTTACTTCAGAGGGTTGTAACACAAGTCTTATTGGGAGAGTATCATGCTACAAGTCATCACTGTAGTTTTGTTGTTGCTGTTGCCTTAGATAATAAAGGAGAAGTCTGAATTACCACCACCTACTCAAACTGGATGTTTGATTACGAAGAAATTACTTAAAACAAACACTACCACCCTACCTCAAACACAAAACTGAAGAAAACCACCCAAAAACCCCAAACCCAGAAACTGTTCCTTGTCTGCTTGAAAAGATTTTGTGTGCTGTATAAAGACAGAGCTCTCCTTTTTTCCTGGGGCATGGCAAACATGGATTTAGGATTACTCAGTGAAGATTTGCTGAGGGTCACTTCCCACACGTTTGTGGTACTAAGCAGCCACAGGCTTTGGGCAAACTTCTTCCCAACCATGTTGTCTGATATGCAAGTGGGAATAATAATTTTCTTCTACTAGGTGCTTTGAGACTAGTGAATAAGCAGGACAATGCAAAAACTGATATTGTTAGAAGTGCTGTGACACCTTGGGGCTTAGTGTGTGAATGCCTCCCTCAGTAATCCTTATTTCTGCTGTCAAAGGGAATATACAGCAGACATTTTCTGTGTCTCTGGGGAACCAGAGACACAGAAAAAAAACATGAAATGCAAGCAGTTAATGTTGTTTGTTTGCTTTTTTCCCCCCTGTTAAGTGCCTTTGACAAATTGTAGTGACTGTTGGGAAATCCAAATGTATAAGAGTAAGTACCAAACAATGTTGACACTAATCAAAAAAAGAGGATGTTTCTCTACATTGTTAGGATTGCTTTGTCAGGTATGAAAATACAGCGTGGTACAGGCTACCCCATCCCTGTGTTCCTAGCTGCAGCTAGCTCAGGCATGTACAGAAATTCCTCTTGCCCTGGACAGTGGTGCCTTAAAGCAGCCAGCAGGATGGAAATTTCCTCTGACACAGGTATAGCTGGCAGTCTCCAGGAGTTCATGCCTCATTAGACACTGCAGCCAGGCGTCCGGTGATTTAATGCTGGGAATCTGCTCTCTTGTTTAGGTCACTGCTTATTGATGGTTAGTAATTTGATTTTGTTCCAGAGGTGCTGCTTGGTTTGCTCTCTTGTTTAAGTCCCTGCTTATTGATGGTTAATAACTTGATTTTATTGCAGAGATGCTGCTTGGTTTGATGCATCTTGGCTAAACCGCATTAAAGATGATGTTGGTGACAACTGGAGAATAAAGGTATTCAAAACTGAAGGTGAAGTGCAAGTCTGTGGGGTTGGATATTGTGTCTGTCCTGGGAGTATCTAGCAGTCTGAAAACTCCAGAACTAAGCTCAGCCTTTTTGAGGTGATTTTAAATGAAATAGAACTGTCTGTGGATAATTTAAGTGCCTTTCAGCATTGTTGCTTGGGGATTTTCTGTTGCAGTGTTTCTCTTCCTGTGTCATTTTAGGGTCCTATGGTAGAGCTGCTATGTAAATATTTTTTAAGAAAGTATTATTTAATTAATTTTAATAAAGGCCTGTAACTTTATCTTCCATGTACAACAATTAGTCCAGTAACCTGAAGAAGATACTGCAAGGAATTATGGATTACTATCATGAGGTATGGAACAAGCACCAATTTTTTTTCTTATTCAAATTGGTAAACATTATGATTATTGTCCTCCTTCACCTAATGTTTTTTCTCTTTGCAAAGTAATTTATTTTAAAGACTTTTTCAGCAGAGAGTATATGATAATTATCTGGTTAAGTGGGAAGTCTGAGTGAATATAAAATTAATTTGCTCTTGTTTAGTGAAGTTTTAATCCTTTTGTATACAACAGAACAGTTTCGGCAAACCAAGCTGAGGTTTTATGATGCTCACTTGGAGTCTGGGAGGTAAGAATCCTTCCAGACATACTAGGGATTATAGTTTGTTCCCCTTCATGCAGAATGAATATAGTAGCCATTAAAGGCTGCTGTGTTTTCAGTTACAAAATTCAGCATTTTTTTTTAATGGAGCTTGATTACAGTTACGTAGTGGGTATGGCACAGAAAAACTTCCCACATCACCTTATGACTTCCTGGTCTCACCTGGGCTTAGTTGTGGTGTCAGATGCCAAGGCCTTCTGTATTAACAGGCTTGCTTTCTGCAAGCCCAGAAGTGGAAATTCTTTAGCATTAAAGGAGTTTTTTTGAAGGATTAGGGAGAAACTGAATTTTAGAAGCATGTTTAATACTTTTTTTTAATCCTGGTAGAATAAACGAATTCTCTTATGTTTGAGGTCTAGCCCAAGAATTTTTAACTTCCTACTGTTGCTGTTTCTTGTATAAGTGGTCAGTTAACTGAACCTCCAGTTAATAGACCTTGTGGTTTGGCCAGAATAATTTTATAGAACTCCTCCTAAAGTGCAGAATTTCGTTGCACTAAATTAATTGCTAGGTGGTTTGCATCTGTTTCTTTGTTTATAATACAAAAGCCTGAGGTGCCAAGTATGGTAAAGGCTATTGACTAGCAGTGGTCTGAGTAGCCCTTTCCTCAAACACATCCACACTAGCAGCCAGAGACAGACATTTGGAACAATTTTTGCTGGTGCAAGAGAGGCACAGTGTGTGATATCTGAGTTTCATGTATGAAGCCCTGTAACAAAGAGTTGCATGAAGTAGGTAAAATCTGCTTTATCTAGGCCTCTTCAGATTTTGTCATCTGCTGTTGCCATGTATGCTTTCTTAAGTCAGCATTTTTAATGTGTATCTCCATGTTTAATGTTGACAGTCTTTCCCTTTCATAAGTTTTGTGTTAAACTCATTAATAGACCATGTTCTCTGGCTTCCTGAGTCCAGATTTCATGACTGATACCAGATTCTCATGTTATACAAAAGTGACTCTACTTCCCATTTCTTTTTTTTTTCTTTTCTTCAGTTCTTGGGTCAGCAGATTGCAGAAGAGCTTATTCCAGACTTAAACCAGATATCTGAGAACTCAGATGCCACTGAACTGGGCAGACTTCTGCAGCTCATTTTAGGATGTGCAGTCAACTGTGAAAGGAAACAAGGTACAAAGTGCCTTAATCTGTTCAACCATGAGCCTCAGGTGATCCTCAAGGTGCAAGAGATGTAGGAAATTTTCTTTCTTATGTATCCAAAAGTCTCTACTGCATCCTTATTCTGAAACTGGAGTTTGCTCTAAAAGCAGAAAATCTGTGGGGAAACTTCTGTGAATAAAACTCAAACTTTGCTCAGAGGAGGTTTTAAAGAAGTAGCTTAAAGTGCGTGTGGATTATTTGTACTAGTTAAAATATGTACCAAGACTAAAAACTTGCTATTCAAACAAAAATTAAATTAAAACTTTCTATTGGAAGCTGCCATTTGATTGTCTGCAGAGGCTGAAGACTGAGTTAGTTGAGTTTTTTCTCCTCTTTCTAGAGCTAATGCTCAGTGATCTTGAGTTGAGCTGAGGAACCCTCAGCATGGGTCTGTTAGCCAGGTGTGCCTGCATTACAGAGTGTGTGGGAAGTTAAGCTGTTGGGCTGCACTGGGGACAGATGCTGGCAACTGCCTCACTCCATTCAGGTGTATTTGTTAACTCAGTTGCAAGCTTGATGACTCTTTGGGAAAGCTTATCTATACATTGCTGTATGTATGAAAAAAGAGCCATGAAAACACAGGTATCTTAAAATCTCCTGCTTTGTTATGCATAGTATAAATTTGTTTGCTTAAGAGATTATAATCTCTTATCTACCATATTACTGGGTAATAATGTTAACAGTAGTGCTCTGTATAAAAGGCATGCTACATCTTTTGAAGAAGCTTTATAGAGAATAGTTTCTTCTGGATCTTTCTGCAAATGGTATGTCAAGTTACTCAAGCCAATAAAATAAACATTGTCATGAGTCATTACAAACTCTTTTTCACAGAACATATACAAAATATCATGACCCTTGAAGAGTCTGTTCAGCATGTTGTCATGACTGCCATTCAAGAGGTAAGTAACAGTTGGTAGCCTCATACTGTCAGTTGAGAAATGTGAAATTTGTTGTCTTTGTGAGTTCTTTCATCCTGGCAAAGGTCAGGGAAGAGCGTAAGTTCCTCCCCAAATTATCTGGGAGGATCAGGATCAAGAGGCCTCAGACCTCAATGGGGAGGTTTTGATTTTAGTCTCACATGCCCAAACATGAACTTGTGGAGACAAGAAATATGTAAGATCTTGAGTTTCACACGAGTTGGTAGCAGGTTTAAAACTTAGATTTAAGTTAACTATATAGTCTTTAAAGACTATAAGTGTCCTATTGGGAGAAATAAATCCGTAAACCTTGTTTGTTGTATTGGGACTAGTTAAATTTTTGAAGGTCTAGAAATAAATATTGTAATTCCTGAGTAAGGAGTGAAGCCCTTCAATTGTTGACAAACATCCTGTGTATGTCTCGATCCTGAAGAGCAGCAAGAGCTGTGTTAATGGTCCTGTTGTTCACTTAATGGCAATTAATGTGGCACAAAGGAGTATGATCACTATTAAACTGAGTGAAATGCTGTCCTCTGTTCCTTTCTATTTTAATTTGACTAGGTGACTGCAATAACTTCAGCAGATCAGTTTCATCTAATAAGATATTACTTTTAACTTGGCTAATTTGAAGAGGCAATAAAGCATTTTATTCCAGATTTATTTAAATCCCTTACCAACCATGAGGTGTTTCGGTTTTATTTTTTTAATATTGCTAATCTGATATATTGAAGGGATGCAATGATGTGCTGGAAAATACAATTGGTACTCAGTAGACAATAAATTCACAGATATTTACCTTTCTTTTCCTCTTTCTGTAGCTCATGAGCAAGGAAGTAACAGGTCCTTCCTCAAGTGATGCATCAAGTGAAATGGAACAGCAGGTAACTGCTTAATATTTGTTGCTGTTGTAGTTGAAGCCTGAACAATAAGTTGGTATCTTGCCATCTGTGAAATGAAGAGGAGGGTTGCTCTTCCTCTCCAGTTCTAAAAGTTAAACAAAATAACCTCAACAATAAGTTGTACTCTTCTTGTCTTCTGTCTGCACAAACTGCTTGAGTCTGTTTCCACTCAGCTGATATGATTCGTCTGTACTTATACACAAAGGGCAGAACAACCTAGTGATGTAGGCAGAGAATATACAATAATGAAATGCTATTTTTCAGTGCTAATTAAGTAATTAAGTTATGTGCTATTTTACAGCTTCCATTAAAAAGAAATGCAGTGGTGATATCATCTTTCTGGATAGGGTAGAACTGACTGGTGCTAATCTGCACTGTAAAAAGAGCTAGGGATGCATCATGTTCAGCCATATAAGGCTAAACACTTCAAGTTCTTTTTAAGGGGTCATGAAAATTCTTCATCTGAAGCCTGTGAGGTGTGGCACATAAAACAAAGATGACTCTAAAAGTAGCTGCCCATAAAGGAGCATCAGTATTTCTATTCTGAGACGAAGGGCATTTGACGTAGCAGGCAGGGATTTTCCAACTGTAACAACACAAATGTTCCTGTGTTTAGCTTTGTTTTGCTTTTGTCCCAAGTTGTGTTGAATCTGGATGTTACTCTGAGTTTCAATAGCTTACTTACTACCTGTGGTAGCTGTTTAAACTGGAAGTGAAATGAACAGAGGTCCTGATCCAACAGTGTGTATATATGTTTCCATGTCCATCTGGGCACCTTCTTAAACAATTGGTATAAGCAGTTGAGACATTTTTAGAAGCTGGAACTCTGAGCACTTTGGATGTGGGCCAGAATGACTGACTATCTTGTTTTTTAAAGCTTAAAAAAGCTCTGGAAGATCTTCAGGAAGCACTAGCAGAAAAAGAAGAGTTGGCACAAAGATGTCAAGAGCTGGATTTACAGGTAAGAAACAGCAAGTTGCTTATTTCTTTAACACGTAGTAGTTCTGCCATTAAGATGCAAAAATTCTGGAAGACAAAATGGATTCTGCATTTTTTAAGTTTCTGTGAGAATTCTAACCTGTTTGGGGAGGAAAGCAATTATTCTGTGCTCCAAAATGCAATTACTGGGAATAGTTTTCTGATGGAAGTGTAAGCTGAGGTCCTGTGCCAACTGGAAAATCAAAGGTGGTTTTTGTCTCCTAGCTTTGTCTACCCTTAGTAGCAGATAGCATCAAACAATGTTACAATCACTTTAAAAAAAGATCCATTTAATTTTTAGTCAATGCTTCCTCTAGTCTTTTGAATTATTTCCAAAAAATCCAGTTTATATAATAATCAGTCATTAGATTTAATCATAGGAAAATTATACTATTTTCAATAGGAGTTGATGAAAGACTAAAATTTGAAATGTATCTAAAATTTACTAACTTTTTCTCATACACAGTTGCAATATGCAGGATATTTCAGGAAATCAGAATAATGGAAACTAATAGATCTTTGCAGCCGTTGTCAAACCACATTGATAATAGGCCTGCTTTAGTTTTTAATGAATACAGAAGTTAATCAAGTAACTCTTCAGAAAAAAAGAGGACTTCATAACAATAAACAGGAAGTTGTGTTTCAGTCAGCTTTTTAAGTGATTTCTCTTTTATGCCACTATAATCTGAGACTAAAAAGAAGCTTATCTGGTGAGGCAGTTCATTTCTAATTGGACTCTGAACAAAGAGAACGTTTGGGTGGCATCTTCTTAGAAGAACCAGAGTGCTATGCTGGCTGCAGGAGCTTCTGTAAAAAACCTCCCACAAAACCAGAGGCCAGTTTTACATTTCTTACAGGCAATGACACCTGAAAAACTAGAGTATTTATGTATAAAGTATCTCATAGCTAATCACTGTGCTCAAGAAGCTATTGTTAGAATTGAATTGGCATTTCAGTGCCTTTTTTCTTGAGGCAGTGGTAAGGCTTCCTAATGAAAACAAGGATCTAAAACTGCTTGTGAGCAGGATCTGCAGGAGAAAATGATTTCTTTAAAATAGGCAAGGGGATTGATTTGACAGCTGAACTCACAGATTACAGCTGTTATGCTTCAAAAAGTGTGTTCACTGTTTAAAAGCTCTTGCATCTAGTTGTGCTGGGGTAGTGGTTACCTTGCACTTTCTGCTTCCATGAGGAGATTTAGGATGTCTCACTAGACTAATCCCAGACTTTCTCCTGTCTCCCACAAACTCCTCCTCTGAGATTTCTTTATTAATTAATGGTAGGTTACACAAAGCCAGCTGCCATCACACAGCATGGGCCAGGTGAAGGCATGAAAGGTGTTGGAGAGAAAAGTGCTGCTGACTATAAACAGACGAGTTAATGACACCACAGCTCTTTAATACTGTGGTGTGTGTTTAAAATACCTCTTCATAATTTGTCTTGACTTTGACACCACCACTTCTGTTATGTTGAAATAATAGAAGAGAGAGCTGTCAGAAAAGAACTGAGAAAAGATGCAAAACTTGCTCTGAGTTGTGTGATAGGTTTTTGAAATTTTAAAGTGTGAGATGGGTGTTTGTGTAACATTATTCTAGAAGTGTGAATGTTGTGCATGTTTAAGGAATGGCTGAACCTTGAACAGGAATTATTGTGCTGTGCAAGGCTTGGGTGTGCTCTCTGCTCACGGTTGATGTGTGTGTGTATGTTATAGTAAAGTGACATCTGGTCTGTAAAAGGGAGTGAACCTACAATGCCAGCACCTAATGAAGTGGTAGATGAATTACTGTTTTGCTTCTTACATCTATTTGATGGACTTAAATTATGATCACAAACTGTTTCTTAAGATCACATACTCTAAGTTATGTCTGATGTTTAATCTAATAATGTCACCATGATATGCTTTTTTTTTAATTTTATTGAAGCCATAATATTGACTGATGCTTCTCATTTAACACTAATTCTTAATAAATTCACTTGTAAGGTCTCAGTCTTCCTTGATATTTTCCAAGAGTATAAGAAAGGTAGGTTTTCTTTATGATTCAGGAAAACATAACCCAAAAAGCACATTGTCCCTGTTTAAATGCCAGTTAACTAACACATGCTACGTGCTCTTATGTTTGACAGGATGTTAAAATTAACCCAACAGCTTTCACTAGAAAAACTTTACAGGTTCTATCCTCTTAATCCTTCCCCATTTTATGGCTGTTAATATACTTACTGTTTCAATGAAGTGTGGTATCCTCATTTGCTTAGCTGTGAACACTCTGAGTGTCAGACCTGTCTGGTTGTTGCAGAAGTGCATGCTCTCTATGAAGCTGTGTAGGTTGTTTTCCTTTCTTTGTGTGTGTGCTTAAAGCTTGCGGCGCCTGAACCCGCTTCTCGCGCAGCCGCCCGCCGCTGAGCGCACGGCAGAGCTGTGTTGGTGTGCTGGCCAGTGCCATCCTGCTGCTTATTGCTCAGCACAAGCCAGATGGAGAGTACTTCTACACCAGTCCTTGCAGGGTTTTTCTGTGTGGAGTCCATGGTAGCCTTCTAAACGCCAACACCAGTTTCTCTCCATATCGCGCTGTCTGCCTTTACCGTGGTTTCAGTTACAAAAACTGGTCTTTTATTTTCTTAGAGAGACTTGTTCCTTTAGTGCTTCATAACTATCATACACTAAAGCATCTGTATGCTCAAGTGTGCTATGTAAATTACTGTCTAAGATTTCTAAACGCTCAACCTTTTTCGTGAACTAATTTGGTGATGTACTGCTGTCTTCCTTCAGTTTTTCCAGTTGGGCAGGTCTCACAGTGTTCCTGCTGTTTTCTCTGCACTAGGTGGCTGCTCTCCAGGATGAAAAAAACAGCCTGATGTCAGAAAATGAGATTATGAATGACAGGCTAGAGCAATTAGATGACTCTCTTGATGATCCAAATACTGCGGTTGCAAAAAAGTATTTTCATGCACAGTTGCAGCTGGAACAACTGCAAGAAGAAAACTTCAGGTATGAAATGACTTGTCTACAATATCTCTTGTTTGGTGTGTGAGAGAGATCCTGAGAATCTCTGTACTCTTTCAGGATGTTCCCTCTCAATTTCTTTTGCTATAAAAACTTTCTAGTACTATATAAATGTATTTCAAAAGTCTTTACCTTTAAAAAGACACTGTTAATTGTTGTAGAAATATTACTTTATAAGGGCCATATTGTAGCCAATTGACACTTCAGAAAAGGTGATATAAGGCAGAAAATGAGTGCCAGAGTGATTTGTCAAAAAAAACCAAGCCCTAAATACCCCCAGAAACCACCATATCTCTTTATTGATTGATTTCACATATTAGTCTTTCTTCCTGTGATACCTGTGGGGGAAGAAAAATCACTTTTCATGTGATCCTTTGATACTGATAAGGTAAACTTTCAGGACATAATCCATTGCAGTTTAATAGGTAGGCAGTAGAATGTTCCACTCTTACAGTGGTGGTTTCCTGGCTACTTAAGAAGTATCCTTTGTTGTACTTACTTTTAGTAGTTCTAGTGCTAAATGAGAAATGTGTAGTAAAGATGAGTTCTTAACAGGGTTCCTGGTTTTGATCCTGTAGGCTTGAAGCTGCAAAAGATGATTATCGTGTCCATTGTGAAGACCTAGAAAAACAATTGATTGAACTGCAACATAGGAACAATGAACTGACCTCTTTGGCAGAAGAATCAAGAGCCTTGAAAGATGAAAATGATATTCTTAGGTATGTAATAGAGCTCCCCATGCACACATGAGGAGAATTAATGACCAAATCCAAGGCTTTGTATTGAACAAGATTTTTTTTTTCCTGAGTTGTTAATTCTGCAGACAGATCTTACCTGAATGAGATCTAAAATCAATGTTGGAAAAGGGCCCTTTGGCAAAGCAGAGGTGTGGTGCAAGCTTTCAGACAGAGCCTCTACTGTTTGCATAAGAATAGCAACATGGAATTTTTCTGTGAAGCAGGAATAATGAACACAAATTAATCTTTATATGGGATGGAAGGTGAAGTTCTGCAAGAACTAAGAGTTTTTTGGGGTTGTATTTGTGCCTTCTTTTTAAGGGAACATTTGTATTGGCAAGAGCTGCCTTTTCTGATGTAGAAAAGCATATATGAAGCTAACACTTCAACGTAACTTCTGGGTTCAGCATTTTAGAATAGATTTAGATTAGCAACATGATTAACAAAACGACAATGAAATACAGAATAACCTCAATGAGAACAAAATTCCAGCTTGTGTAAACTAAATTAAGTACCAGACCACCCAAGAAATATCCAAAGCACATCATATTGCAAAAGAGAGCTGTTATTCATAAGGGTGTGAATAAAACATGGAAAGAAAAGTGGTTTCAGGTGTTAGGTAAGAACCACTGTAAGTTAAACATCTGAAATAAATCTTAACTACAGATTTTTTTCCCATCATTTTCTTGTACTATCTTCTAATAATATGAGATGGCAGATATAAACACAGAGATTGAAATTAATTTCTGTATTTATGATTCGAATATTTTCTTACCACATATTTGTTAATGATCAGCTGGTAATTCTTGGTCATAACTGCTAATGATCATTTTCATAGTGCAATTAGGTTCTAATTATGTGTAATTACGTATAACCCCGCAATGAGAACATCTGTGTTTTTCCTTACCAGGTACAAGTACTTTGAGGTTACTGTCTAGCACAGGATATTGTGGAGCATTTCCATTGCACCCCACAGAATTCCCTGGAGATACTTGACATACTAACCCTTGCTTGTACTTCTGACAGAGAACTGTCAGTCTTACTCCTGCTTAAACCCTGTAGTCACTTCCCTTTTTGTATGCAATCCTTGCATAATGCAAGTTTGCACTGATTAGGCATTTCAAAATAACGCATAATTTGACTTTTTAAAAATCTTTTGATGAAATACACTCTTCAATTCCTGTTTATGCTGTAAGGGCTACTGCAGACAAGGCAAGCAAGCTGGAATCCACTGTTGAGGTCTATCGTAAAAAGCTGCAGGACCTGAATGACTTCCGCAGACAGGTCAAGTCCCTGCAGGAGACCAACATGATGTATATGCACAACACGGTCAGTCTGGAGGAGGAGCTGAAGAAAGCCAACGCAGCACGTGCCCAGCTAGAAACCTACAAAAGACAGGTATGGCTGCGCCTCTACTGAAGATGTTACTTCTATTCTCAAAGAGTCATCTTGCCTAAATAATCATGTTTCAGTAGAAAAAAAAAAAAATTGAACAGCCCATGGACTTAATTTTGTATTGTCCCCTTAGAATTTCATATTAATGAAAACTCCTGTCTAGAATAGGTAGCTCAGCTATTGCTGAGGTCACTTGTACATAATATTCTTTCTTCATGGAAATTTATTCTAAACTGTAGAAGTTTTATTGCAGTTTTGCTTATTTTAGTAGTAATTAAGAGATGAAGTCAAATATTAAAAAAGAAAAAAACAAAAAACCAAACATCAACAAAAAGACAAAACAAAGCAAAAACTAAACCACAACAACAAAAAAAAACCCTCAAGCACACACCCCCTCATCCTATCTCCATCCCCTGTGTTTGGAGGTCCAGCTGTTTATTTTGGCTGAACTGTGTAGGTGTGAAGGTTTTAACTCAGCTTTTAGAGGAAGCCTCTTGCAGCATTCATGTGCTGAATGTAGTCTTTCTGTGAAAAGGTCCAGGAGCTTCATAACAAACTCTCTGAAGAGTCAAAACGAGCTGATAAGCTAGCATTTGAAATGAAGCGACTTGAAGAAAAACATGAAGCTTTAATCAAAGAAAAAGAGGTAAGCTTCTTGGAAGAGTTTATTTGAACACCTAATAAGTCTCTTTCAAATGTTCTGCTTGAGAAAAATCTTCTCGGAGGCAATGCTAACATAAAAACAAAGTTTACCACCTTGTGTGTGTGTGTGTATATGCATATAAAACATAAAAGTAGGTCTTAAAATGCATGTCAGTACTATTCCTGATTCATGTTATTTGGTCTTAAAGTCGTGCAGGATGACTTATTTCTACCCAAAATACATCTTTTTAGAGGCTGATAGTGCAGTGTGATGCATTAAAAGAGACAAATGAAGAGCTCCGGTATTCACAGATGCAGCAGGATCACCTGAGTCAGACAGGTATTGCTTTATCTTCAGAAGCTTTTTGATGCATATTTGTGATTTCTTTCAGTCTGTTAGATTAAACTTGTCATGCAATTTCAGGTGCATCTCGTGATAAAAGCCATGAGAATCTTGCTGCTGAAATCTTGCCAGTGGAATATAGGTAAGAAAAAAGTTGAGGATGTTTAGGGGTTTTAATGGGTGTGGCTTAATATTGTCTCTGGGAAACTTCAGTGTTTATTTCCAGCAACATCACTCTACCCTACTTCTTGCTTTCCCTCTGTGATGCTTAGCTGGACCCTTGTGTAGCTGTTGATGATGATTTCCCCATACTGTAATTACTTTCCTTTCTTTTTTAAAAGCATGTCAGATGGCTTTATATAAAACTTGGCTAGAAACATCCTCTTTGAGGAACCAAACAATTTATAGAATAATTAATTCACAGAATAAATAAATATGCAGCAACTAAGATGGAATGGTTAAAGGCTATCTAATGTTACTTTTAAAGTATGGCAGAATGAAACATGTATTAACTCCAAGCCCAGATTTTTAATGTGCCTTTGTATCTCTTAAAAAAAAAAAAAGTATTGTTATGCTTGAAAATGGTAAATTACCTTTTAATAAAAAACTGCATTATTACCCCAGTGATCTTAAAATGAGCAAACCAAGTTCTGCTTAAGGTTGGGGCACTAAACAGGAATATTACTTCCTATTCTTAGAGACCTTATTCTTAACTAACAGTGACTTTTCTTTGTTGGTTTTGATTCAGAGAAATGTTTATCCGGCTACAGCATGAGAATAAGATGCTCATATTGCAACAGGAAGGGTCAGAAAATGAACGTATTGCAGAGCTCCAGGAGCAGCTGGAGCAAAAGCATCGGACAGTGAACGAACTCCAAACTGAGAAAAGGTGATGGGGTGAAACAGCATCTTCAAATACAGCAAAAAGATTTCTGGACCTTCAGAGTGGCCTTGTGGCTTCCATCTGTAGTGTAGCACTGTGCAAGAAGCCAATTCTCCTTTTTCTTTCACCAGTGTAGTCATTAATGAAGGGGTTTGAAGCAAGCAAGAAGGAAAATAGCTTAAATGTGGTGGTGTCAAATGTGGTAGGTCTGTGTGTAGTGTATTCTGAGGAAAATGGTGCTTATAGGAGGCTCTTCTTAGCTCTCAATGATTCTTGGTAGACCAAGAATGGATGTAAAATCTATTTTTAGAACTTCAGGCTAATCATGTTGTGACACTGGCATATGGTCTGAATTTCTCTATCAGCTAACGAATGCTGAAAGCAGTTCAATAGGATGTGAGAATTTTGGGTATTTAAGTTTTCTGAGAATGTAAAATGAGTCTAGGTGTTTCATTATACA